ATGCTTTCTTCAGCTTCTTGGCTTTATGTTCCCTATTAACTACTTCTCCATGTGGTGGAGCATAGCCTAAAGCAGGTGGTCTCTTAAGAGAACAGTCCTTTGAGCACAAGCCAGGACCTGGAGGCAGAGCAATATATGAATTCTTCCCACATAACACGCAAGCCTTGTACCTCTGCCATGAACCCCATGCCTTCCCCTTAACATGGGGCAACTCCTCTGCCGTGGGGGTGGTATAGGCTTAGTCTTACAAACTTAGTGGCATAACCTTACCTTGGCTTAGCCTTTCCTGTTGCACTGGCCTGACTGCTAGCCACCTTGCTCCTGCCCTATGTATGTTCTGCAAGGCTGCACCCATGTTTCCTTCTCCCAGCAGAAAGGGAAGCACTCTTCCCTTTATAGATTCTGGCCTTAAAGGAAATGGATATGGACACAAGGGCAAGTTCTTAAAAAATGGTCTGAGAAAATGTCAAACTGGCTACTTGCATCTGAGTTTTGGTAGGTGTTAAATGCTGACAGCTCCCCTTGATACTGCTTAAAACCATCTAACTTAAGGTTGTGTATCCATGTTGCATCAAGAACCCCTTCTTGACTCCTGTGCATCATGTCTCAGTGTCCCAACAGCACTGCTTGGTTGGAAGGAGGAGTAACACTGGGAAGTGACCAGTGGTATAAAGATCCTTCATTTCAGTTAATATTCCACCTCAACATTACTGCTTAAACTGGTTTATTGGCCAGAACAAACTGGCTGTGTTATTTCTGTTGCTAGAGATATCCCTTGCTCTTGACCACAACATGGTATACCAATACAGCTGAACAAGGAGCAGCTTTTCTACTCTGGTTACACATCCTATTCCTAATTCTGTAACTGAAGAGGAAAGTCCAGTTTCCTCCTGTAAAGGTTAATTATGCTAGGCATCATAGTTACAGTATCATACCACTGAGCTTATTTAGCACTACACGTGTGCTGCAGGACACTTTAAATGAACATTGCTTTGTATTGCCTTCTCTCTCATTCAGATTTCTAAACAAGCATTGACGCTTCCCATCCCGCAGCTGTTACTAAGAGGGAAGTTAAAGAGCAATTCATGTTACTTTACTTACTACTGCATGACTGACCATGGAAAGCTGTATGCATCTCAACCACCAAGCATCCATATTAGTCTTCTGCAGTTCAGTGATTGTCAATGTAGACATAGGCTTCCAAATTATCATTCCCACTAAAAAAACTAGAGCCTTGTAGGAAGCTCGAAAGGGATTAGAGGTGCACTGATACATCAGTCTGATATCAGATTGGCACCAATATAAAGAAAATTGACTGTACTGGAAATCAGCCTGATGTGGCCGATAATTTGACCGATAAATGGCCTGTGCATGTGTGTAGCCACAGCGCAGCGCATAGGTGGCAAGGAGCGCAGCCTGGCAGTTTGGAGAGCTGCGTGCAGCTAGTAAGTCTGTTGTGGTGGAAAGGGAGTGGGGAGAGAATGAGTGTTGGGGGGTGCAGATCAAGGCCCCCATGGTGAGGGAGGGATGGGACTGGGGTTGGTGCTGCAGAGCAGGGTGCAAGACAGAGCTGCAGTTTGTTCAGGGGGCAGCGGGGGGGAGGGTCTGCTCTCACTGCTGCGTGCACCCCAGGAGAGTGGGGGGGGGTTGCCCCTGGATCTGCATGGGGTGGTATGGGGTGAAGTGGACAGTAGTGGTGGGAGGATGGACTGGGGGAGGCTATGTTGAATTTTGGAGGGGCTACAACCCCCCCGTAGCTTGCCTCCCAGTGCCGCCACCGCCTGCCCAAGTGCAGTTCAGCCCAGCCCAGCCCCTGCTGGGAAGAACCAGATGCAGCCCTGGCCCCAGCCCACCCTGCCCCAATCTGGGGGCACCCCCCCATGCCCTCCTGGGGCATGTACCTTGAGCCAGTAAGTCCTCCTATTATAGAAAGCTGAAGGTTTTTACTATCTGTTACTTGTTCAGTATCTGCTCCCATCACCTTGTCTAGATGTGCCAGTTATTAACAAGGTGCCTGTGGTTACAAAGTGTTGCAAACAATTAAAGAACACTTTTCCCTCTGTTTAAAATCTTAATGTAGAGTCATTTTGACCTAGGAAAAGGGTCCCTTCCTGTTTGCAGATCACCGGGAGTGATGTCAGATCACTGCCAGTTTAATCTTTGATTGATTAAAGATGCAGCCTTTGTTCTACCTTTAATCCAGTATACAAGAGAAATGAACATGCTGTAGGCAGCAGGCACATCTCCCCAAATCATCATGTAAAATAAGAACAGAGAAGCTGTACTGGGTTTCAGATTACCTCACAGGTAGTGGTGGAGGGGTCATCTATCCCACAAGAATATTGAGTGAGAGCTGTGTGGAACTGCTGTTTCACTAAGAACTTCACACTGTAAACATTGAGCCTTTTTTATTATGACTTTGATTCACAAGCAGAAAGAAACCCCTACTTCCCACACCACCTTTCAAAACTAGTCTCAGTGTGGCCACATGGGTCTCTCTAGTCTAGGATTTTGATTGGTAGTGGCCAGCATCACATGCTCAAAAGATACAGAAACCTTGTGCTAGGTGAATGTGGCAGTAATTTATACCCCAAGATCTCATCCCAATTGGTAAAAACTCTGAGGCATGGAATTTAATAGAATTCTAAGTAATTCTAATCTATTAGTCAGAATAGTCAGGATATAAGCCTGATATCAAGAATACCTTCATGGGAAGCTAGAAAAATTAAGAATAGTTGATATTTTTATTACAATTTAATACAGTCTGATATAGGAGAAGCAGCAGTAGCCAACATGCAAAGCAATTAAAGTCATCACAGAGCTCAAATGAGATCCCTTACAGCTCAATTTACAAGTACTTGCTCTCAGTTACCAACGGTAATGCATTGTAGATGCATTTTTAGGAACTTCTTTCTCTAAACACTGCTGTTTTGATCAGGTCCCAACATTGCAGTGCACTCATTGCAGGTACTGGACCAGCATACAGCAGCTAGAAAGGTGGACTGGTAACAAATTTTGTCTTTTGATGGGAATCAAGTAGGTTATTTGATTATAGTTTGCTAGAAGAGAAGTATACTTTGAAATCACGAAGCCAGTTTGAAAACTTGTCTGCCAAACAAGTGTACTCCCCCGAAAAGTGTTAGTCACTTCGGTGGCAAGTAGATTAAGTTAGAACATTTTTCTGTGGATTGTCTGGGCTGTCTGTTTCAAAGGAGTTGCTCTCTGAGTTGCTAGATATTTTCAATGCAAGTGGTTGATGCTTCTATCTTTGCAAACTTGAGTAGAAGTTTATGTCCCATAAAGAGGGAGATGCTTGGCCTGGATTGCCATGGAGAGAGTAAAACAAAACCCCACCCAAAGTCCCATAAAGCAGTTTATTAGGAAATAAGTTATGTCCTCCTGCACCTCTTCCTCTGGCATGCCTCTGCATCTGAGCTACAGGAGCTATCTGAGTCGCTTCCTGATGAAGAGGAGGAGGGCTTCAATGTGCTATAGTTCATACTCAGGACCCAGCCCAGCTTGTTGTGTAGAACTTGCTTGAGTCCTGGTGGCAATGGAAGCACCTCCAATGTATCCATGTAGTTAGGCAACAGCTGGCGGAGGCGGTAACAGCAGAGGTACTGAAGGGATGTGCAGCTGGCACACGAGCGAATCACCTTCATGCTGCTTTTGGCTGCAGTGGAGCATACCATCGGGTAGAACTTCTTGTTCTGAAGTTTGGTAGCTGCAACTCCTGCCAGGAAACAAAAACAAAGAGTTCTGGTCTCAGTGCAATGGCAAGGGCACTGCTCCTAAGATGCTATGTCATCTTGTCTGTCATCCTCCTCTCTCTGTCTAGCTAAACAGGGTGCCTACATACTGCTAAGAGAGCCTGAAAACAGATTTTCTGATATCAGGGCTGCTGATGAAAAGGGATATCCTTTGCCCCATCTTTATACCCCTAATCCTATTTTGCCACTCAGAGAAGCTAATGGATTCTCATTCCACCTTTTCCAACAGCTACACAATACCAGGGCTTTCAAGAGCTAACAAGGCAAAGATCCTGGCCAAATGTATTGTGTTTCCATAATTCATACAACCCTTCCCTGTAAGTCCTGGCATGGGCAGCTAGTACTGTCTTAGTCGAGGGGGCATGTGTGCCCCCCCTTTCCCAGTGTGGGGGGGGAAGGGAGGGGAAGAAGGTGTCCCCCCACAGCTGATCGAAAGACAGCCAACTGCTGTGGCCAATCACTGCGGCTGTTTCTGGAAGCTCTGCTCCCTGGCTGGCGCTTGCAGGGGGGCACTGGAACTCCCGCTTGCCCCCCAGCCCATTGCCTAAGCGGCAAGCGCAGCTGGTCAGGGGGTGCACCAGCACTCTCAGAGGGGGTACGTGCACCCCCTACACATTGCCACCGAGTCCTGGTCTATCATTTTGTATCAAGATGTGGGTTTGATGGGATGGAAGGCCACTATGACCTTTGTTCTTACCTATACATTTTCTGTTTTTGAAGAAGGTGAGTGTTCCATGCCATGTATCAAGATGAACCCCAATAATGGAGCCTTGGCCAAACCGTGATGAGAAGTTCATTTTGTCTCCCTTGTGGTGGAGAAGCCCTTAAAAAGCAAACCCATATTCAATCATTCAATCCCACCACAGTGCACAAGTGCCTTGCCTCAATTCAACTGCTCAGTATGACATCCTTAGATTTTTCCCAGGATCAGTAATCATTACCCACAACACTAAGGAGAGGATCAGAAAGCATGGTCCTTCAGTAGCTCCGGGGACAGGCAACAGAGGAATATAATTTTGCCTCTACATTGCTGGTTTGTGGAAGGGATCCGCCTATTATGTGACAGCCCAATGACATGAGTAAAGGTATTCTGAGTACACCCAAGGTGCTGGTCTTGTTGTCAGCCTTAGATGGAAAATACTGGACAACCTAAGATTGTACCACCCCTCAAGCCTCCTCTTTTATAGGTGGAGGCATGTTGGCAGGACTTCCCTACCTGCCAGTAACTATATTAGGGAATTACTTCATTCTATTAGACTTAATATATGGAAGCACCCCCAGTGAATATAGCAGTTACTAGTGATATGGAGGAATTCTTCACCCTGCGTATATTTAATCACAGTGTGTAGGCTGCCTGCAAGTAGCAGTTCCAATAAAGTATGTTGGTGACAAAGCAGAATCATCATCCTAGGGGCTGTTTCAATTTTACTTCCACTCCTCAAAGCAGCGTTCCGTAATGAGTAGAAAAAGGCTTCTGCATATTTTTTAACCTCCCCAATTCAACCTCCTGCTGTAGGGGGGGCACTCCCACTGCCCCTGCCTGCATTACCTGTGTATGAGAGCCCCCAGCTGTCCTCATCCTTGCCCAGCAGGCTACAGAATGTGTGGTGGTACTTGTCCAGATTGACATCTGAAGTTCCGATTCCCACCATCTAGATGGAAGAAGCCCATGCCAAAGGAAAACAAGGTCAGTTTCTGCTACAGAATTACCTGGTGGTTTAAGTGCAGTGAAACACCATACATGACTTCCACCTTGGGTTCTCCCCTAATATTTTTCTTAGTGTGCCCCAAGAGACATGAGATTTGGCAGAATTAAGTCACAGGGTCTATTTAGTCTTCTGATCTAGGAGTTACCAAAGGTCTGAACAAAGTTATGCTTCACTTTGAAGAAATCAGGAAGTGATCACACCAGCAGCTAGTACTGGCTCTTCTACAGTCCATTGCTGTTTCCAGAATTAATTGCATGTTAACCTTAATTGCAGTGACATACTTTGCATGCCTGAGACTGCAAGTACCCCGGGCTAGGGCCAGTCTCCTCTCTGTTCTGTCCTGTTGAGCTCACCAACAGTGACCAACAATCTAATAAAATGCATAGAAATAAAACCAGAGATCTGGGGTTCCAGTCAAGACTGCCACTGTCTCAATCCATGGCCTCAAGTCAGTTATTTCATATCTCTGTTTTTCTTTCATTTAAGTGATGACACCCACTCATGGAAGACTGAGTTTTATAAGTAAAACACGCTGTCATGTATTGTTCTATTAAAAGAATGTCCCTCTGCACCTCCTCAATTCTAAGCACTTCAGTGCAACATACCATGTCAGTGCCATAGACAGGAGAGGTCATTTTGATCTCCCAGAAGTGCTGTCCTTCTGCCAGCTCCTTGTTCCCACGGATAGCAGCAGTGCCACAGCTATACTCCATGTGGAAGTTCACCTTGCGGTTGTCACAGGTCAGCAGGGTTGCTGTTGATTTGTTCAGGTCATCCCATACCCAGTCAAAGTCTGTTCAGAGCGAAGATGCAGGATATCTTTAAGTGGTGGGAAATACTGCCAAACCAGAAACTTAACAGAGCTTCCATCAATTTAGAAGTCTCTTAAGATTTTTTTTTTAATGCTCTAGCCTGTTGAATACCAAACTGGGTGAACTCAAGTTACCCTGTTACAGCCCAAGATCATCTTCCTCTAGTCTGACATAGAAGATCATCTACTAACCAAGTTTGTCACCATTAAACAATGGTCCTCATTTTAGGTTAACAAGAGATTTCAGTTATGTGACCAGTCTCTTACAACAGCAATTACTGAACACAGTCCCATGGGTTACATGCAACTGCTGACAGCAGCAAGGCCTGTATGAAAGCCAGGTAGTGAATGAGAGGGAAAGCCTTGCCTTCAGCATTTTCAAAGGAAGCATTTGCAAAATAAGAGTGGTAGCCAAGACAGAGCCAGAGTCAGGAAGCCAGGTGCCTGGATGACTTCTACTTGTGAGAATGGTCATGCAGACCCCTCCAGAGCTGCATTGTTTTTTAGAGAACTGAATTTTTATCTCTTTTTAAACTCAGGAAGTTGCAGCCAGAACAAAAGAAATGTGAGGGCATCTCAGTCCTAACCTGAAACACTACTCCAGCCCCTCAGTTCAGCTACAAGCTCTACGTAACATTAATTAGTTACTACAAAGCTACCCTGTATAGTTGCCAACTTATGCAGATCAGAGATAACTAGGTACTAGGACATAACCACAAAGCTAAAATTCACTTGTAACCTAAACTAGATTTGAAGGTGTCCAGAAGTAAGATCGGATTCATTAACATATTCACACAGGACACCTGTTACCCTTCTGATGTCTGTGCGATACAGTGCTTACACAGACCCATACTCCATGGATAAACAGGAAAGGGTAGCTTCCTCAGTAGACAGCAGTTCTTGTCTCCCTTCAAACTCAACATATAGGTGAACACATGGCACCCCCATTCACATAACAGGTGGAGAACCTACATCATACAGGCAAAGACAAATCAAGACCCACTCAAACCCAAAGGCATGGCAAGAAGAGGCATGGAGCTGCTTCCTTACATTCATCCTCTTCGCCACACTGGCAGTCCTTGACGTGGTGGATGGCATGCAGGCTGGAGCAGTATGGAGTCTCATTTTGGTTCTCACAGTTGCAGTAGGACTCTCCTGTCACAGGGATGGCGCTAGGGATGGATGGTGAGAGGGAAGGAAACTCTGGCTCTGAGTCAGAGTCACTGTGCTGCCATAAGAAAACAGAGGGACAGTTACTGATGCCATTGGAAACTCAAAACTTGATGGGCACCCATGAATGACTCATGCCCCCAGAGGCTGGCAACTGCCTGCAGGCAGCGGCGGTGTCGGCAGTGAGGGCGAGCCAAGCAGGGAATTCCTGCAGGCAGCCACAGCAGTGTCAGTGGCGCCGGGGGGGGAAGCACCAACCAGCAGCAATCGGGGACCACCCACAGATGCCGTTGGCGGCGAGATGGTGACCGCCTGCAGGCAGCATCGGCAACGCTTTTTGCAGGGGTTCCACCACCAATCTCAGGGGGTGCATCCCCTACACATCACCAATGTGGGCACCTAACAGATGTAGCTGTCCTTCCCAGAGCCAGCTTTACTTGTTTTTCTGCAGTAAGGCCCAAAGACCCCAACATGCACAAGAACTAAGAAGCAAAAATCCCATGCAGATAAAAAGGGGGTGGTAGTAAGGAGAGGGGGAGAGACATAACAGTGTTCAAGCAAGGCTGCATGAGTGATAAGTATACAGCCATGCGGGTCTTTAATGTACATGTTTGTGACATTAGAGCAATGACACTTGGACTGTGGTGCTCTGCAGACAGCACTATTAAACACAGCATTCTGTGCCTGTAATTTAATATAGGGGTGTAAGAAAGCATTGCGTGAGTGATGCTTGGTCATTTCTTTGCAGTTGTTTAATAAGCACATTGCAGGGGCTTTTCTTATAAACTGGAGTGTGCTGGCCACAATTAGCCAGGGGTGTGTATGTTGTCATAGCTCTTTGATTAGCACTGCCTGTTCATGTAGCTCCTGAGCCAGTCAGGACTGTGTGGCATTTTCAGAGGGGTTGAATGATAAGAGGAGGAAACAGGACAGGAAAGTGAGGTTGGGCAGTGGAAGTGTTAGAAATGGAACAGAATGAACTGGGGGGGTAGGGTGTTAATGACTAACAGCAGTAAAGCAAACAAAGGAAAAAATCCCAAGTGTGCTTTAAAAATACACAAATGGTTGTGCTGTGCTTCCTCATGCAGAGGTGACCACTCTAGCATCTCAGATGGCCTCTGTCCCATGGGAGGGAGAAATGGAAGGCCCCACCTTTAAGAGATCCTTTCATTAAGGCGCATTGCTTCGGTATGATGTATGGGCACCAAAGACATGAGTGACAACAGCAGCCAGGGCAGGTTACTGTCTCCATCTGCAGATCAAGTTCTAATCAAATCTGAACTGGATTCTCTGATACTTTTGTGAGGGTTCGTCTAGTTTCATTTACAGCAGCTGGTGCCCATGGACTTCACTGAATTCTTGTGGATTTACCTGGTGTTAAATCAGACTGAACTCTGAGTTTCCTGTGCTTTCCTGCTTCATTGCCCAAGTTGAATTATATACTCTGGTATTAGGAATAACATTGCTTTCAAAACAGACAGCTACAGGGGTACATGAAAGAGGTACTTGGGTTCAGTATGACTGGCTCATCTGTCTAGCCTGCCCCTGTTGTATCACTGTCTGCAGATTAGCCTGAAGACTGGAAAACGTTTAGGAAGATCTCTCTGACTCATTCCTCCAAAATAACCAATGTGAAAGATTTATAGTTACCAACATAAAAACATTAAGCCACTCTGACACAGCCAAACCAAGGCAACAGTAGGCTGTTCTTCTGGACAGCTTTAAACTCGATAGTTGCATTGTAAGGAAGTTTAATCCATGCCCCCAAGAAGAAAGCAAGTAAAAGGACACTAGTGGCTATTTTAACTTGTCCTTTCTTGTGCTATTTTTAATAATTACTTTTCCTGCTTTGTTCCTGTCTTCCAGCTCCTATACAACACATGATTCTTATTAAGCCATTTTCAGAAGTGATGGACAAGCTGCAGGCTGGTAAGTGGGTGCAAAGCTAAATCTAAAGTAAGTGAAGTTAGCAAAAAATACCTACAGGGGATGAAAGTGTAATAGCATCAGCTTAGATGACCTATAAACCTCAACCAGAGGTCTGTCTGATTTTGGCACGCTGTGTGCTAATACCACAATGACTTAGATCCACTAGCAATCCATATTGTGGAAAAAGAAAGGGCTCCCTCGTGCATGTTTAGAACATAGCCTCTTTTGCAGCAAGTATGAATTTTTAGAAGTGTTAATGTATCAGCATACCTGCCCGTCAGAATCGTAGCCCCAGCCACGTGTGCCAGTGGCCAAAGCTACTGCCCGGCTGTCTGTATCACGGCGTACCCCACTCAGGACAAAGTGCCAGGCTCTGCTGTTACGTGTGCGTCGTGCCATGGTATTTTGAGACAGGTATGCTGCAAAGTGCCAAGGGAAGAAAGTGAAGTTATACAGGGCATCGGTATCAATTGGGAAAGTTCTATTTGGGCACCACCTTCCTCCATTGATAGGTTTTTATAGCTTGTTTATAGTTGCCACCCAACTGCTCCCTCAGTCAACATTGTTGCCCACTTGTATATAGTTTTGGGATAACTTGGGATCAAGGTCAACCATGAGCATTCACAATGGTCTTATGAAGGTACACACTGTACCAAGGCTACTTTTAAGTGGCCAAGAGAATAGGATAGGTTTCTTTCATATCACAAGGACAGTAAGACAGGTTTCTTTTGTACCACAATCAACACAATCATAGAAACTTAAATCTACTGCCAGGAGCCCCCCCGCTCCCCCCAAATCTGTGCTGCTCTGGGATCACCCTGATAGAAATACCAAAGTTTCTATCTATTTGAACCCAGCTGGCTGCACTGGGTTACTCAGAACATTTCTGGTAACACAGAGCAGTGTTAATGCCCCCAGTGCACTACTGGCACACAAGGAGATAATCCTACTGTACAAATCCAAATGCCTCACCTTTGCACAAAGGGCAGAAAAAGAATCAGTAGTAACTAATGTGCAGTTCTTTGCCGGCGCAGTAACCACGCAGGGGATAACTACTTCAGTGAACTGGAGAGTTTAGCATCTGCCGCCCCAGCTCTGCTGTCACTAAGCTTGAAATCCTTGAATAGGTTTTGTTCTGGCAGGAATGAGACTTGCTAAAAGACTCTGCTCTCTCCTGAGGGCTAGAGGCAAGTGACCAGTTTCTTACTTTGCATGGGGACAACAAGCTTTCCTAGCTTGTCCTGACTTGCCTCCTGGCCAGTGGAGAGAAGCAAATCAGCTGCACTTATCCGAGTCATAGGGAGGCAGTGGAAGTGTTAGAAATAGTCCTCAGGCACAAGGTTTGGCATGTTTATTTCCTGCTTTCCCCCAGTCCCTCTCCTCCTGTAAACAGCACATTTCTGTCATTTCTCCAGAGAAAAACTAGGCCAGGAGGCACCTCAGTCCTTCCACCACACAACAGATCCTTTTGCAATTGTCTTCCTGGCCTGTGCAACTTAGAATTATAGAAAATTAGGGTCGGAAGGGACCTCAGAAGGTCATAGAGTCTAACCCCCTGCTCAAAGCAGGACCATCCCCAACTAGATCATCCCAGCCAAAGCTTTGTCAAGCCAGGCCTTAAAAACCTCCAAGGATGGAAATTCCACCACCTCTGTAGGAAACCTGTTCCAATGAAACTTGTCTTTTTCTAATGAACAAAACGGCATTCTTCTGGGTGTGCCACCTGCCCTGGGACTTCATCATTCTCCTTTCTGTTTCATGCAAATTCGGACAAAGACACTCCTCTCTTGGCTTCTTCATCTGGACAACTTACACCCAGCTTGCTGCTATGGGTAATTCCACAAATGCAGACTGATCAGTTTTGAATGTTAAAGAAAAGCAGCTACGGGAAAATTAGTGTGTCCATCTTTATGCAGCAGTTCTCTGTGCTTCTCTACATCCCACTTCTCCAACCCCACGGAATGCCCAGAGGTAACAAAGCAGCACTTTCAGCAATATGGGAACTGAAAACTATTGCCAAACTACCTCTTCTGCAACAGATAAAGTGATCCCATGGTCTCTTAGTGCATGTGTGAAGAGATCAAAAATGCTGATCCAGGCAGGATCTGCTCCACGAGACCCTGTGGGAATGGTCATGATTTAAAAATTCCTTCCTAACCCTTACATGCCCAGCTGATTCTGATCCATCATGAAAACCTCTTATATGGAACTGGAATCTACTGTCCTGAGAGGTGAACTGATGGAGGTTGATGTTTTATTATGTAGAAAGTGCAAGTATTTGTTAACCCCTTAAACTACTGCCAAAATGTGTACATCTCAGCAGCAATTATCTGTGGAAGAGTACAAGAATGTACAGATGAGTTCATTTAGGGAAAAGAGTGCTTGAGATTAGCCTTAAGGAACTGCTCATCCCCATGAATACTTTGTCCTTTTCAGTACATGGACGGCCTAGTTTAGGTTGTTTCAGTTTCACTGGCAGTGACTAAAGATCAAATGGCTTTGCCGTTTTAGTTTTGTCAGCAGCATCTGTAAAGATAGGCAGTCAGACATGAGTCTCTATTTATTTGATGACTGTACTGGAAAACTGCTCCTTCAGAGAAGGCTCTTGTCTAGATACCAGAAGGGTCTAATCCAGGGGTGGACAAAATAAGGCTTGTGGGCTAGATCCTGCCCACCAAAGGATTCTAACCAGCCCATGGCAGGTCCCTCAGCCAGGCCTGGCCCAGGCACAGCGGGCAGCCCAGGCCATGACACATGTGACCAGTCCCGCCGTCCCGGGTGCAGAGGTGCCACCTGGTGCAGCCCACCCTATCCGTGCACACAGCTCTCCCTCTAAAAACTCTGGTCTTTGCTTTTCAGTCGTGAGTGATGTAGTAGTTCCAACTCCCGCAGCATCTAGCTGTGGATGAGAGACTCATGACTCATGGACAGGAGAACTGACACAAATGTAAAAGGCTGTGAGACTAATAACAGTGAAATGGAGGCGGATGGGGTCAAAGAAAACAACCAAAGAAAGTCACCTAGTACAAAACTGAACGTTCGGAGAAAGCCAGCCCTTCACTTCACTGGATGCTCTCACTACAACTATAGCAGCTGATGACATATGATGACCGTATCTTTTTCACCTCTGCAAAGGTGCTGTGCTAGGACTAAGCAAGGCCACTGGGCAACCCAGGTTAGTGCAGAGTAAGCGTTAACGTGCTTAGCAAATGTGTCTTGCCCACAGAACCTTATATCCAAGCTCCAGAGGCCAGCCTGGCTCCTTCCTCACTGAGTTCCAGGTATTTCATCCCTTCTACTTGCATTAATCCAGCAGCTGAGGCCAGACAGCCGATCCAGCCAGCAGTGCCTGCACTTGTGATGTCTGGGCCTTAATGTTCTTACTGCAGGAGGTGGGGAATCCGCTTAAACTCACTGCCTTAGGCTGGCAGAGGCTGCATTCATTTGCATCCAGGGATTCTGTAGCCCCTTCTCACCCAGGATTTCCCACAGAGGAAGATCAGAGTTGGGGCAGAGGGAGGCTATTTTTTCCCTCACTGTCCCCCAACCCACTCCCCTGTTTAATGTGAGAGAGAGAGAGCAAGGGAGGAGCCGGCTGTGCAGGCCCAGCATCAGTGCAGCTGTCAGGGGGTGAGACCTACGCACCACACACCTTTCTGAGAGAGGGAAAGGGCAGAGAAAAGGGACCCAGTGCCACGTGTTCTCCGCCCCAAGACTCATGCAAGAGCCAGAGGAGGCTCCACTCAGCCGCCCCTGCCCCCGCGCGCCGGAACGGGATCCGCCAGGCGCTGGAGGCCCCGAGGAGACCGAGTCCAGGCCGGGGGCTGCTGCGCGGCGCAGCGGCACCTGCCCCCACAGCGAAGCCGGGAGCGGCCGAGCCCGGGGCTGCAGGCGCGGGCTCGGAGCGGTCCAGCGCCGGCCACGCCGAGGTCGCGACGCGGAGACGAGCGGGAGCTGGGCAGGCCCGGTGGGGCG